TTGAATTGAAGCAAGCAGGGCATTGGGCTGTAGTTCTTCTTCAAAGTCTTGAATGTTGAGCCGCAAGCTCATGACAACCCAAGGTTCGGCGGGATTGCGTGTCAAGATCCCAGTGCCACAGCACCTAAACCAATGCGTCCCCCAAAATTCTTCCTCATGACATCTTCCAAGCGCCAGCAACTGATGATATGCGGCTGCAATTTTGGACCTTTGCTCAAATCCCGTCCTTCACTAGTACTGTGCGTGTGCCTGCTTCCACCTCACTGTTGATCCACGGAAGGCTTGAAGCTTTCTCTTTTGCGCAAGCTTCCTGGCATGTGCGGCAGTCTTTCCTGAAAGGAAAGTGCCCTGCTTGAATGTGCTGCCAAGAGAGCTTTTTGAGGACCAAATTGCTCCAGATCTTGGCTTGTATGCGAATTGCATCGAATTGCGATGTATTGAATTCCACGTGACCAACGGGCCAACGGGCCAACCTCTTTTGAGACATTGGACGTCGCCTGGCCTCCTCGTCCGCTTGACCCTTTGCCAAGATTCTCTGCCGTGGGTGGGCTCCGCCGAAGTCTAGAGAGAAACAATGAGAAACGGCTCCTCAAAGCCATGAGTCTGTGTGAACCTCCACTGTTCCGTCTTCCAGATGGCGACCCATGCGTGAGTCATGCTGAGTGAATGCATGCTGGCACGTCCCCCACACCATGCCGGAGTTCGCCTCTGCTAGGAGCAGTTTTTCCCAGCTCCGTCAGAACCCATTTACTCATTCTTACAATCTTGGAGCAACTTCAAGAAACTTTTCTCCAGAAGTTGTGGAAAGCCCTTCGCACTGACAAAATCCACATGATTTTCTTTTCATGTTCGATACTCCTGATGTTCGCTACCGGTGAGGCGTTGTTGAGCAGTAGATCAAGCAAACTTAAGAGATGTTGCCTGGGTTCGTTCAAGTTCAACGAACCCTTGGGCACAAGACAACTAGCCGCTAGCCCGATTCAAGGACCCGGCCACCCACTCGGCCACTTGGCCACTTGACTTGGGATGATTCGCAACTCCAAATGCAACGAATGCCACTGGGTGAATCATCCCATGTGATGTGAATCACCAGTGCGTTGCCTTTAAGCTGAACAGTGTACCAATTGCACGTGTGAAATATTGAGAACAGCAAGAGTTGGTCTCAAGTCTGGAACCGTCAGGTACCATGTAACTGTGGTGACTGTCGTACTGTTTGCCATGGATGTTGACCTCCTGGAGAGTTCGTCTCAGCAAAGTTTGTTCCGCCATGGCTTCGCAACCTGTGTTTGTGGCGTCCGAGATGTCGCCAGACTCTGTATTTTGTCAAGAAAGCATCAGCTGGAACAGAAGGTGTAGGGCAAACACAGCTCTGTATCACAACACGTTTGCCGGCGTTCTTTTCCCTCTCCAGTCGCTTTGCTGTCAGAACTTGTTGACAGACCATGCACATGTTCCAGATTTTTCCACACTTTTCCATAGATTGAATTGAAGCAAGCAGGGCATTGGGCTGTAGTTCTTCTTCAAAGTCTTGAATGTTGAGCCGCAAGCTCATGACAACCCAAGGTTCGGCGGGATTGCGTGTCAAGATCCCAGTGCCACAGCACCTAAACCAATGCGTCCCCCAAAATTCTTCCTCATGACATCTTCCAAGCGCCAGCAACTGATGATATGCGGCTGCAATTTTGGACCTTAGTTCAAATCCAGTCCTTTCACTGTGCGTGTGCCTGCTTCCACCTCAGTTTGTGCTGATCCGCAGAAGGCTTGAAGCTTTCCATGCGCGAGTCGTGCTGAGTGCATTCTTGCTGGCACATCCCCCACACCATGCGTGGGTTCGGGTTGAGGGGTGGCTCTGCCAAGAGCAATTTTTTCCAGAACTGGCTGAGAATTTGCAGTACGTTGCCTTTAAGCTGAACTGCATGTCAACTGCACAGCGTGCGCGAATACTGAGCGCAGCAAGAGTTGGTCTCAAGTCTGGAACGGTTGAGGGGTGGCTCTGCTAAGAGCAATTTTTTCCAGAACTGGCTGAGAATTTGCAGTACGTTGCCTTTAAGCTGAACTGCATGTCAACTGCACAGCGTGCCCGAATACTGAGCGCAGCAAGAGTTGGTCTCAAGTCTGGAACGGTTGAGGGGTGGCTCTGCTAAGAGCAATTTTTTCCAGAACTGGCTGAGAATTTGCAGTACGTTGCCTTTAAGCTGAACTGCATGTCAACTGCACAGCGTGCCCGAATACTGAGCGCAGCAAGAGTTGGTCTCAAGTCTGGAACCGTCAGGTACCATGTAACTGTGGTGACTGTCGTACTGTTTGCCATGGATGTTGACCTCCTGGAGAGTTCGTCTCAGCAAAGTTTGTTCCGCCATGGCTTCGCAACCTGTGTTTGTGGCGTCCGAGATTGCTGTCAAATATTTCAATTACTGGGCGCTGCCATGCGCAAAGGGCGAGAGATGCGAAACTAAAGGGTTCTTCTTTGTGCAACTAGATAGATATGGTGCGATGTTTTGGATTGTAGATGTACCGATATTCGATATTTGGATTCAGGGAAAGATGGTCAGAAAGGTTGCGCGTAAGGTCTTTGACATGTCACGAAAGGTACCCTAGGCTACCTGACTTCTATGTACTTTAGTACTAGTTTAGTACTGGGGGAGGTGGCTGGCCCTTTCCCAGAAATTGAGAGCTGAGAGTATTGAGTCTCCACTTAAGGGGGGGGGGCGGCCTCCCCGCCCCCCATTCGAACCTTGCCGCAAAAAACCGCGCACTTTGACCGGGGCAGCGAGGAAACAGGATGCGCACGATGCGCCACTCGTGCTGTCAGATCCAGAGGCTCTCAGGCTGTGCCAAAGCTGTGGTGGTGACTCCTTAGGCGCAGATGATGTGGGACTTGTCGGGCAAGCGTAGGTTTGGGCGGTTTTGGTGGGACACCTACTTGGAACCTTCAGAATATATCGGCCAAAGCAAGTGACTTCCTGCGTCATGGGCTCACAATGTTATGTGGCGCATGTCCTTGCAGTCCGGAAGCATCCTTGTTTGTTTTGGCCGCCATGCCGAGAGAACGCCAATGAGCAGCTGGATTCTTGTCCCAGGTCCTTTCAAGACACGAAGTTTGATTATATAGGACTCTTGATGGCTCACATTCAAGAATCTGCGAGCGACACGGATTTTTTTCGAAGCTCCCGAAAACGCAAGGACGTCTCTTGACAGTGCCTGTGACATTTGACTTCTCAGGCATTCTCAGCATACTTTTCCTTCGGCGTGATCATTCACCTTGCCGCAAAAAACCGCGCACTTTGACCGGGGCAGCGAGGAAACAGGATGCGCACGATGCGCCACTCGTGCTGTCAGATCCAGAGGCTCTCAGGCTGTGCCAAAACCGTGCCGCAGGGCCAATTCACACGCGGTTCTAGTCCTTGCCAAGCCTGCAACTCTACAGAGCCGAAGATGCCAGTTCGACTCTTGAAGAGATCAGTTACGTATCAGCCGTCCACTGCGGTTTTGAAGCGACCAAGCAGTTCTTGAGGTGAGCCAAAGATGCTCTTGAAACGATGACACTTGTGTATCAGCCGTCAAGTGCGGTGCACCTGTCAGGTGACTCTGTATGACCAACGAGATTGCTTTGAAGGATTTGAAGCAAGCAAGCACAGAGTGGGATATCTCACAGGCAATTGCAAATGAGTTGAAAACGCTGTGCACTTGACAGGGGCAGATTTGAAGATCTTTGAGACTGCTAGAGGGCTCATCTCTTCCAAGTTGGTGTGACTAGTGGAGATATGTTTATTTTTGTTTCTGGCGCTTGGAACGGTTCTTGACTGTTGGGTGGTTAGTGACAACATATGACTATAGTTCATCTGGTTCATGTTGGTTCATTTCGGACTTGACATGTTTCAATATTACGCTTGCAAGTATTTTTCGCAAAGACATCACAGTCGCAGTTGAACATGTCGCAGGACTCAGATGTGAGTCCTGAACAATTTTACTCAGTAGATGCTTCACAGACTTTAACAAATTGGGAGCAGACCCCCTTCAAAAACTCCGTGGTATTCACGCAGTTTCCAGCTCAGTCCTGACCAGTCCCCAGATGGCAGAACCACAGGTGACCCATGGTGACCCATGGTGACCCGGCTGAGCGAGACGGCGAGACTGCGAGTCTTCTTGAAGGGTCTCGGCTGATTGGCGAGTCCTCTTAGGGTCTCCGAGTCCTAATGGAACGAGAAGTGGATGGAACGCTGCTTTGGTGCGGCCAGAGCGCAGCAATCAAGGGGCTGTAAAAATGGCACCATGGCAGTCGCATTAATTCATGAAGTATGACATTTTCACCTCATGCCATGTATTCTCAAACGGTAGCCTCCCAAACTATTCGCTTTTGCTCAGTTTTGCTCAATCAAGATTGCTTTCTTTCGGAATCTGGATATCTTCAGATCTTGTCAATCTCGAGTAGAAGTGCAGCTGAGGCTTTGACGAAGAAAAGCCGAGGCCCGTGACAGACGTGACCTTCGATGTCATTTAAAGATGTAGAAACTTAATCGTGGAAAGCCAAACAACATAGTTTGACAATTTTGATGTGACAATTTTGATGCTCCAAAGGATCAAGTGTCTTCATATGTTTGAATTGCACGGCACCAGCTTTGCCTTGAAGCAATCATTTTCTGTGGTTGAATCTCTCTTTGGTTCCTTGGGTTTCGGCGTTCTTTCTGCGCATCTTTGATCGTTTTGATTGTTAAATTCCAGCAGCTTACGTCTGGTTGTTGCTGGGTAAAGTGTGCGGCAGTCAAGGCCGAGGCGTCAACTTTCATGCCTTGCGCAGGTGCCTTGCAGTACAGTGCTCAAGCCAGGCCTAGTTGAAAGGTACTCAAGTGCTCTATGCCCAGCTGGGCCACGGAAAACACCAACAAACATCGATCCGAAAACACACCTTTGGAGAAGGTTGTGGTTCCTGTTGGCCCATTGTGGTTCCTGTGGCTGGGCTCTCTTCAGCGATTGGCAGTACCAGATTGGAACCACTGGCAATGACCATGTATACGGTCTGGCCATTGACTCCGATGGGCCAGAGGTCGTGGGCAGCACCGCCAGTGACCTCTATGGAACCAATCAAGGTGAGGAGCTAAGTTGTCTGCTAAGTTCCCTAGGATTCCCAGGTTTCCCAGGATTCATGTGGGGAAAGAATTCAGCTGCTGGAAATCTCAAAACTTTCAAATTTCGCCCTCAGTTCAGGTGGGACAGGCTGGTTTCTTGCGAGGGTCAGCGACGCTGGCAGCGAATGACGACGTTGCCCGGTCCCTGGCCGTAAGTTGTGTGCGGACAAGTTGTGTGTGGACAAGTTGTGTGTAAGTTGTGTGTTGACAAGTTGTGTGTGAGTGAGTTGTGTGTGAGTGAGTTGTGTGTGAGCAAGTTGTGTGTGAACAAGTTGTGTGGGAGGAGGCGGGGGGAGGCGGAAGGAGGAGTGAGCGGGGGAGTGCCCAACCAAAAACCAGAACCCCAAACAAAGATGTGGGGAAAAACGTGAAAAAACGTGAAACATATCCTTTGCGCAGCCAATTCAGTCCATGTAGCAATGTAGCCATCTTCAGTGGAATTCCGGCCACGGAGGTTGCGCCATATCTTGAACCATCTTTCGTTTCTTTCGTTCAGCGATTGCAATGCAGCACCCATTGCAGTCCCGCATAGCGCGACCGCACCAACGAATCGACGCGTTCCGCTGCTGCTTTCCTGGACAATGCCCCACACCCGCGGAACACACGGACCCTCACTTAGCAACCCCGGGAGCCACAAAACCTGCAACAACGATTCTTCAATCGCATTTGATTGCTTTCACCCACCCACTGCAGCCGCATGTAATGAATCTTTACCGACAATCTATGAAGATGACTGGCAAACTATAGGGGCATTTTCTCATTGAGTGATGTTCGTATAGTTATAGTTACTTTGTCGAGTGCTCGAGTTTGTGAAAAGAGAGTCCCTGTGACATTTGTGAAATGTTATCCACAGATTTTTAGGTAAACCGGTAAACCCTTGTTTCTTTGATCGGGGAAATAAGCCAAGCAGCTCAAAATGATTCAAGGTGCAATGTTTTCCGTGGTATCTGCAGTCGAGGTAAGCCATAACTTTAGGAACCCGAATCCAGATCATTTGCACCAAGATATGATGCTCAATTTCTTTGGTTCATCTCAGAGTTGCACCTGAAACAGGGCGAAGTGGACAATGACCCTTGAAAGATGTTACAGGGTAAGCAAATGTTTCGGGTCTGGCTCGCAGGATGTTCCAGTAAAGAAAATTGCTCTTTTTCCCTGAAAGGGACGTGGATGACTCTTTTCTCCGAGTTATTGGGTAAACAGTGTTCCAGGTCCCCACGTCTATCCACATATCGATTTTGCGTGGATTGGAAGCAGTCCAAGCATGTGCGAAAAAAACAATTTTTCGGAGCTTGAAAAATAGTTTTTCCGCAAAGCCTCAGTTTTCTTCAAGTTATTGGGGAATACAATGTTTCAGGTCCCCACGTCTATCCATATATCGATTTTGCGTGGATTGGAAGCAGTCCAAGCATGTGCGAAAAAAACAATTTTTCGGAGCTTGAAAAATAGTTTTTCCGCAAAGCCTCAGTTTTCTTCAAGTTATTGGGGAATACAATGTTTCAGGCCCGCAAGTCTACCCACAGATTGAGTTTGCGTGGATTGGAAGCAGTCCAAGCATGCGCGAAAAAAAATTGGAGCTTGAAAACTTGCTTTTCTGCAAAGCCCCGACTTCATCCCATAAGACCATTTATAAGGGGTCATGCCACGCAAAAAATGAACCGCAAAGGGGAATTGCAAACCTCACGTATAAGCAGTCATTTAAGAATTTGGCAATCCTTTTCCAGGGTCCCTCAAAATCTTAAAGTACTATGTGTTTGGTATAGCTGAAAATATGTAGCCCGCCTTGGATTCGAGCCCCTCAAATTCTTATACAGTGAATTCTTGTACAATACTCAAGCTGTACGAAGTTGTCTCGAGAGTTGAAACCCCCAAAGCCTTTTAAAACTCTCCAAAATACCAGGGTTTATCACCTTGTCTAAAAAACATGCAAAACATTGGGGGATCCCCCATTTCTCAACATGGGTCGCCGTACCTTGGGCGCTTGACATGGGGGCGGAGACTCATGGCATCACTTCACAAGAGAGGTAGTTGAACAGTTTGGGTCGCAAATGGGTCCTTTTGTATGGAATTTCTGACCGCATATTGTCCAGCCCATCGAGGATTGCAATATTTGCAAATGTATGATGGGTTTGTCGCTCTTGTATCACACTCGCTCTTACCCCAGCACGTTCGTTTGCTGATGTGCTGCAGTGCAGCAGGAATTTTCGCATGGTAGGCCGGAAGATGGTACCAGTAGTACCCGGCACCACTGGACAGGATGAGCGCTTGCTTTATCAGACGTGGATCACTCAGTTCTCCGTGCAGGATGTGCTGTGATGAGAATGAGAGAGAGAGAGAGAGAACAAAACACAGGCGATTCCGATGTCAATGCAAACATGTGTAAAAGCATCTGAACGTGCGCCAAACAGTAGAGACTTCACCAACTAACTTGTCCATCCAATTTTCAAGTTTTCCATCCACTTCCCATTTGCCAGCAGGTTCCCATCCACGTCCCGTCTTTTTTCCATCCATGCCACCACATATGTTATACTTTTATCTATTTTTCACATCATTGGGTCAGTTGAGTCAGGGCTGGGGTGGTGGGTCTCAGGATGACCAAGATCTGTGATGTGAAGCTGGCGCGTGGAGCCGTTCAGAGGCAGATCCAGGGGGAATCAGTTCACAACTTCACTGGATCTATGAAAATCTGAAATCTTTCGTAACAAACCTAACATTAGGTTTCAGAGTGAGCATGGACCAAGTTCACTGGTTTTACATCCAAATCAAATTCTTTTTCGACTGAAGTTGTAGATATTGTATGAGGTACCGTGATAAATTATGCAGGGCATCTGAAGCGTAACGTAAATCAAACATGTCATCGCATCAGATTCAAACATCTGCCCCAGTCAGAATTTGGGTCCGATTCCGCCCCATCTTCAGGCTCTTCCAGCCCTTGAGAGAACAAGCCCGGCTCCCCGTGAAGATGGATGGGATGGAATCAAACCATATCAACACATCTTTTTGCTTCCAGCGCCCCAAACCTCCCAACCAGCTTCAACTCTCGAAATTCCATGGACATGCTTGGACAGGAATTCCATGCATTTGAAGTCAAATCTTTAGATCGCACGGCACATGTGAAGCCATGTGAAGTCCAGCAACGGTGGCCTGGAATTTCCATGACGCAGTTTCACATCATTGGGTCCGATTTGTCCGACCGCTGCAGCCAGACTTTTTTTCTCCCAGGTTGCTATGTTGAAGAGACATCACAGCAATATCTCCGAGGATCGGCTGGTGAAAGATGGGACATGAGTCGCCAGATGGGTCTGTCCAGGAATGAAGCATACAGTACCAATGGATTTGGGGTGTACCCCCTGTTTGGACTTGTTTGAAGAAACTCCCACTAGGATCACTAGGGGAATCAGTCAAGCCGTTCAAATCTTTGTGTTTCTGTTTGTGTGAAGAAAATGACCGGCTCAGAGGCACTTGAAACGATTTGAAACGATGTGCCAACTTCTCCACGTTGATCTTTGGGAACTGTGAAGACTATGAATGGAAAACAGTGACAAAACATTCGCATCCAAGGAACATGCCATTTTGATCGGTTTTGCACACATTTTCAAATGGTTTGCACATCCCATCTTCGATTCAATGGTACAAGAATGCCGGTTGACTGGGGACTTCAACCGTACCTCATTTGTCCAATCCGATTGATGTCTAATTTAGTTGGTGTACTAATTACTTACCTACGTACTTACTCACTCACTCACTCACTCACTCACTTACTTACTTTACTTACTTTACTTACTTTACTTACTTTACTTACTTTACTTACTTTACTTACTTTACTTACTTTACTTTACTTACTTTACTTACTTTACTTACTTTACTTACTTTACTTACTTTACTTACTTTACTTACTTACTACTTACTTTACTTACTTTACTTACTTTACTTACTTTACTTACTTTACTTACTTTACTTACTTTACTTACTTTACTTACTTTACTTACTTTACTTACTTTACTTACTTTACTTACTTTACTTACTTTACTTACTTTACTTACTTTACTTACTTACTTACTTTACTTTACTTACTTACTTACTTACTTACTTACTTACTTACTTACGAAGATCGAATGAAACCATCTGGTTGCGCAGCGAAGTCCAAACAATTTTAGCTCATGGGACGCAACTGAAAGGTGGATCGAGCAGCTTTCAATGAGGAGAAGATCTTGCCTCTGCAGAACCAGGACAGAAGTTTGGTGGGTTGCATAACTGTGTTTCCAACCGCTAAATATGGGGTTTGCCAAAAAGAAAAGACCGGTAACAAAACAACTGATGAAATTGAAGCTTTTGGAGGTTCCCAAGAAGCATGGGGAAATCCATTTCTTTTGATTTGAAGAACAAGTGCAGGCAAAACAAGCGTTTCTTCAACGCTCTGAATATTCCTCTGTGCACTCTTTATGCTTCGTCCTTGGGATGTTGCAAGACCTTCTGTGGAGATGGTTTCTCGGTTTCTCGGTTTCTCAGTCCGGAATTTGGTCTCTAGGAGATGCAGAAGATTCGGGTGAAGATCGAAGGCTTCAGGGAGGATGTGCGCAGCTTCCGCGCGGAGTTTTTGGATCGTTGTCCTTTGGAAGTCGGGGATCCCAGACGTGGAAAATGGTGAGACCATAAACAACGGAGTGATGTCACCAGTCAACATGGAGAGTCTCTTGATTCAATCAACAATCAGGGTTGGTTTTGGCGAAATTCTGGTTTTGACCATGGTTTATACTACAGGGGGTTCCTGGAAGTCAATTGGCTGACAGCTGGGGAGATCCCTTGTCGCACCGAGGAGAGCAAGAGGGGTTCTGTTTTTGTGATTCTCCAAGGATGGTGAGATAAATTGGCACAAGGTGAACTGCTTTGGCAGATGCTTTTGCACAACATTTGCCACGTTTGCCCAAATATGGGCGTTTGACAAAGATATTTTCCACCAACTTTGCACTGCCATGGGCAAGGTTTGTTTCACAAAATCGCTCTAACTCTGAGGTGAGAATGCAGTGACTGGCAACTATGACAAGAGCCTGGTTCTCAGCACTGAGCACTTTAGCTTGAGGCGATGCCCAGCAAGAATGGATTCCAGCCACGAAACATTGAAAGATGCTGATGACAAAAGATCACACATTGATGCTGACAATTGATTCATCACTGCTCTGAGGGTCAATCTGTGTTTGAATCCTGCAGCCTCTGAGTATCCATATCCGTCAAGATGATTTGGATATTGGCCACCAGAGCCCAAGTTGATTGATCGAAAATGAATTAGCGAGAGACCACATGATACCAAAGGAGATGGTCCAAATCCACCGTCATTCCAGCAGATTTTTCTTCAGGCTATGCATTGATCAACGAGTACTATCAGAAAACGGTACAGAACAGTTCAATGTGGCTCAGCTTCACATTTGACACTGTTCTCATGTTCAAAGCACCCGGCACACCTGATCCCTGGGTGCGTAGTGGTTGATTAATTGGGACTTTCGCATTGATTCATCTAGGAAATGAAGTCCGTACTATTCTCATCGAGCCAAATGGTTCTTCATGTTTTATTTTTGCAAATATAGACAGACCCGTGTCAGTGTAGTTTGGAGCGTGTAGGTTGGAGCTGCAGCTTCATGATCCCCAGTTTCAGTTCACTGACACGTTTGAAAAGTTCAAAGTCCCCACTTTCAATTGCCTAAACCATCCCAAAGTTGATGTTAACTACTTCTACCATTCTCACATGGTTTGCGAGTTGAAGTGGTTGATTTCTGGTTTTAATATCATGTTTCAATCCTGTTTCAATTCTGTTTCAATCTGTACAATGTACAAGTGGTACATTGTATTTGATGACTGTCCCTAATTCTGGTAGTAAAACGACCCCCAAGACACGAGCCAGGACTTGGAGCTGCTGTTCGACATGGCCATGATCAATTACCAACCACTGCGGGCCTTGCACAATTCTTGGATGACTGATATAGACTTTGTGATGATTTATAATGATTTATATATTTATGTAAGATTCATGTGCAATTTCACCAATACAAGTTGGAAGTTTAGCAAAAAAGACTTTGACTCTTCAAAAACCAAATTGAGGAGCCGGATTTAATGAACCTGGGCTAGTTTTAATGGAACATGTAATATACAGGATACCACCCTCTTATTTTGGGGGGTTTCCTGTAGATTTTCCTTTAAACATCCCAATACATCGAAACGGAGGGATGAACAGCCATGAGCAACCAGCTGGTTGGTGTCAACAGAAGGGTACATCCGTATGTGTTGTTATTTTTGGCCAGGATCGACTGCTACAACAACTTGGTGCTTTTAAAGAACCCATGGGACCGCAGCTGCTTGGGGCAAGGGAAATGTCTGTGTGATCCCTGTGAAGTATAAAGCAAATCAAAAGATATGCTTGTACCTGAGATTGGCCGTCCATGTACTGAATCCTTGCAGTTCCACAATGTTTTTTTTGGCAATTTCATGGCCTTTATTCAAAAGAAAATCCATGTTCGGGGTGAATTTGCCAAAGATGATTCCTAGGATACACTAAAGAATATGGCCACAATGCCATGGCCACAATGCCATGGTGATCCTTGAAGATCATGTAATGGTGCTACATTCTGGGTCACAATTTTGGATGGGAAGTCCAACCTCCATTTTCACCCATTCAGCGATTTGAGCAGGACCTGCTTGTCACGGTGCGGGAAACCTTCTCTGCTTGGTGCTCAATGGATCTGTGGATCAATGGATCTGTGGATCTAGGTCAAATGGCCATTCAGATCCAAGGATGGGTTAGATTTGACCATTGGTAGTAACGGTGTGAATCATATTATTCTTGGATGGGCAACATTCTCGTTGGCTTCGGATCAGATTCGGACCTCTCATTTTGGATACCACTTTGAACCCTTGCTTTGAATGTCCTTGTTGATCTTTGAAGATCATGTCGGAAAGCAGTTTCAAATAGGGTTTTGAGAAGAAAACAATCAGTGCACGTGGCTGCTTCCCCGTCAGCCCCCGCCACCCCCCATGGGCTGTCACCGAAGGCACAATGTGCTGTGGGACAAGATTGAGACGGAGCAAATGGTAGCCACAGTTCGTGAATTGAGCAACCAGGTCGCGGCCACAGAATTTCGAGGTCTTGTTGCATCAGTTCTCGCATTTAACAACTCAAAATGGTCTCCATGGTTCATTCTAAACAATCAACCTGTTCAGAAGCAAGTCAAACATCAGTAGTTTTTTGCTGATTGATGCTCGTTTCATGACATAGTGATTGACGGTTTTCAGTTTTGTTTCCTCCTTCAGTTGCTGCTTTGGAGCCGTTGAAATCATCAATCGCAGGTAGTTCGTGCCCAGAAAGACCAGCAGAAAAGGGGCGCTGAAAAGACCGCACATCGTAAATGTTGTGGGGAGGTGGGCCCAACCTTACCCCTATGTAACTACTATTTCCATTGTTTTTATCAGAAAAATGCAAACTAAAGAATACTCAAGTTGCTAAAGGTAGGATGTGAGGATTGTTACTCCCATGATCTTGCTCCTATGTAACTACTATTTCTTCTTGCATAATTTTTTCAGTGGTCATACCGTAACGTGGAAGAAATCATTTTCAGGTCGCCATGCCCTGCCAATCTCGATGCAGGACATCGACTGGACACCATGTATTTGAGCATCCATGATGTTTCTTAAGTCATGGGGGATCCCCAGTCGTCACCATTGTTGTTTCAATACTAAAATGGCCATCCGTGACTTGGATGATTTGAGGGTAGCCCCATTTCAGGAAACCGCCATATATGTTAATTAAATTTCCATGGTGCAGCTGGAGATGACGAACGCTGAGAATGGACACGCTTCAGGATCCGAACCCAGGAACTTAAATTACGAAGGTCCCTCAGGGTAGAGATGGTTCATATCAAACTCACGTTGAGAATCAGGACTTGAACTAAGTTGGATAGAAATTACCGAGCTGCCGCGATTTTCCCGAAGAAACGCTTTCCTGACCCTTTCGGATCAAAACTGGAAGACAGTGGAGGTGGTTTGGAAGGTATCAATAAAATTAAGTAAATATAAATATCCCAAAGTTTTCCTTTGCTATGCAATTCATAAAATAAACTGGTGGTCCAAAGGGCTGTAAAGCCATTGACGAAAAGAACCACTTCCCTGTCATATTTGCAACGCAGACACATATAAACGACGACCTTTTGGGAACCCAGTCCCCATCATTTTTCAGGTTGTTTTTGGGTAGCAGTGCCCCGGCCATGGCACCTGCGACAGGTTCTGCAACGCAACCTGGTTTGAGCCTCATTACCGATGTGCCAGCACAGCAACTTCAAATATTTTGTCAAAAATTCAAATTACTGACATAGTTTCTGACATATCATCTGGAAGCATACAGGAAGCATATAGGAAGCATATAGGAAGCATATAGGAAGCATATAGGAAGCATATAGGAAGCATATAGGAAGCATATAGGAAGCATATAGGAAGCATATAGGAAGCATATAGGAAGCATATAGGAAGCATATAGGAAGCATATAGAAAGCATATATGGCATATACTATACATACATACTATACATACATACTATACAAAATACATACATACCATGCATACATGCATACATACATGCATACATACATACATGCATACATAATCATACATAATCATACATAATCATACATAATCATACACAATCATACATAATCATACATAATCATACCTAATCATACATAATCATACATAATCATACATAATCATACATAATCATACATAATCATACATAATCATACATAATCATACATAATCATACATAATCATACATAATCATACATAATCATACATAATCATACATAATCGTACATACATACATACATACATACATACCATACCATTACATTACCTTACCTTACCTTACCTTACATTACATACATACAAACAGACAGACATACATCCCGGCGGGTTGTTTATCGAACCCGCGTTTTCAACGTTTCATTCCACAAATCACAGTGGTTTTGCATCTCTCTCAAAGTTCAATTTCCTTAAAAAGTACGCGCGTACTTTTCACTGGATATGTGAAACACCTCAGCGGCACTCTCTTTTTTTCTGCGCTAAGTGTTCTTCACAATTTCTGCAGTGAGCTTGGAGAGGTTTTTGTGGGAACTGTTTTCCCATCTCCACTGCCAAGCACGTACACTAGCGTAGCATCATATATGTGAGGAAGTGCAAGACGACGTAGACTAGCTTAGCATATATGTGAGGAAGTGCAAGACGACGTACAATAACGTAGCATCATGGATGTGAGGAAGTGCAAGACGACATGCAGTAGCGTTGCATCATGTATGTGAGGAAGTGCAAGACGACGTACACTAGCGTAGCATCAGAAATGTGAGGAAGTGCAAATCAACGTTATTAATGCTGTCGACTGATTAGTGTGAGGGCCCCCCCCCCCAAACAATTTTAGTCTACTAAATAACAGACCATTTTTTTGCGCCCCCCCACCTTCAACAATTTTTTTGAATTGATTTCAATTTACTTTCAATTGAAATCAATTTACTTTCAATTGATTTCAATTTACTTTGAATTTACTTTCAATTTACTTTCAATTGATTTCAATTTACTTTCAATTTACTTTCAATTGCTTTCAATTTACTTTCAATTTACTTTCAATTGATTTCAATTTACTTTCAATTTACTTTCAATTTACTTTCAATTGATTTCAATTTACTTTCAATTTACTTTCAATTGCTTTCAATTTACTTTCAATTGATTTCAATTTACTTTCAATTTACTTTCAACTGATTTCAATTTACTTTCAATTGATTTCAATTTACTTTCAATTGATTTCAATTGATTTCAATTTACTTTCAATTTACTTTCAATTGATTTCAATTTACTTTCAAGGGTTTTTGTTTTTTTTTTCAACCCCAAAAGTTGTTGGGCACAATAGAGTACCATCCAAACATTCATATTATTGAGTAACTGAGCCACTCATGGGGTACCACCTTGAAAAATTGTTTGGATGCTGTTTTTTAATAAGG